AGGAGGGGCAGAGCTTGAGGGGAGCCGGTGGGGAGCTGGGGGGGGCCCCGGGCAGGGCCGGGAAGGCATCGCTGCTGGAGCGTGGGCGCCGCAGGCGACGCTGCCTGGCTCAGATGTAGCCACCTCCGGGGCAGGGAATCTGGGAATAAGGGATGTTAAATTCTGGAATTCCCATCAACTACTAGATTAGTTGATAAGGGGGAGGGGGCTACCCCTGCTGCAACTCGCAGTTTAAATGTAGTAGGAGCTGGGTGTGCAGCCGGGGCACAGCCATCTCGGGTGGGGGCCAGGGAACCACCACACATAACTGCATGGGGATGGCTTGCCCGGCAGCGAGATGCAGTCACCTCTGGCGTTGGCTTCCCCCCAAACGCCCCACCCCCCAGCACTGCTGCTGGGCACTGTTGCTCGTACCTGCGGTGCTGGACTGGGACGTGAGTGACTCCTCGCTCTTGGCGGATCGCAGTGTGACCGTGTCAGCCCGGAGCCCTGCAGCGAGCAGGAGAGAGGTTGGGTTACCAGGCCTCCCACCAGGCCCTCAGCCCCACACCCATCCATCCTCTGCTGGGACCCCACTGACATGCTGCCCCCACAAGCCTGCCTGCCAGAGGCTCTGCCCTTAGCAGTGTCCATGGGCCGGCTCTGGCGCCCTGGAGCGCTGCTCCCATGCACAGCCCCTAACCCTGCACCCTTGCTGACAACTACACTGGCAGGGCAGAACACGAGCAGCGCACCTCGGAGGCCAAGGTATGGAAGGCAGGTGACATTTTTTCTGCTTCCAGAGCTTGCTCGCGCCCATTCCCAGCACCGGGACTCCCCCGAGAGCCTGGGGCAGGCTCAGGGCTTGGGCGTGCTGCCTGCAGCCCTGCTGGGAGAGGGCGCAGTGGGGTGCTGGGGCGTTGGAGAAGCACGGGATGGACGTACTCAGCTCTGCTGCAGCCCACTGGGAGTTTGCACCAACTCGGGCCAAGTGAGACGGGCATGAAACGCTTACAACTCGCTTACAACTGCCCCTGGAGTAACGCTGCCGAGCAGCCAGCCGGGCTCTGGGAAAGGCTGCTTGGGGTGGGCGGCCCAGCAGGAAATGTACAAGGGACAATGAAACACGGGAGGCACCAACTGCACTGAGGAGACTTTCCTGCAGCCTTCATTCTGGAATGTGCGTCTGGTGGAGAACTGAGTCAGGCCTGGACAGGGGACGCCACACACCATCTCAGGCCGGTCCCTCCACCGGCTGAGGGAATCCCTCCATTTTGTCTTCACTCCTGCACCTCCCCTCTGGAGACTCTTTGCTATGAACTGAAGTGTGGAATAAGGGATGGGCGACCCATCCGAGCAGCAACTCTACTCAAGCCAGCAGTTTATTCCACCTCTGCTACAAGCCTGCACCAAGAACTTAGCAGGTGGGGTCTGAAATGTGATTCCTTTGGCAATTTTCATTCTCACCTTTTCTTTCCTCCCTCTTATAAATAAGCCTGAAGATTTTAGATGCTAGAGGATCGGCTCCGCAGGCTTTTCGGGTAAGAGTCCAAGTTACGAATTGACCTGGGAAAGTAGCCAGTCCTTTGGCTCAGAAGAACCTTTTCATGTGGCGAGGCTGGTTTTCATGCCCTCTCGTCTGCATGAGGCGCAGGACTGGTGGTGGCGCAGGAGAGCTGGAGTGTCTGAGGGAATTGCTTCTGTGGTGTCCTGCTGGCCGGTGTGGGGGACGGACGTGCTCTGTGCGGCTGGTTTGGTGCCTGACAGTGCAGACCTCCCAGCATTGGGCTGTAAGCAGCCCTGTCTCTGAGCATTTTGCCCTGAATTGACTGACACTCTGAGGAGTGCCCCTCTCCCATGTTACTGACTGAAGACTAGGTGGACAAAAGACCACACCCCCGGGTCGGTAGGAGGGTGGCCGCTGAGGAAGCTTGTGCTCTGGTGCGGGCTGGAGAAGCAGAATCTGCTGCCGGAGGTTACCCACAACGAGAGTCTCTGAGCAGATGGGGCAAACCCTTTCCCCGCTCACGGCTGCGACAAAGAGTGGGGTGATTTCGGGAAGGGCCACGTGGGGGGCTCCGGAAGGGAAGCCGGCAGCGAGGGCTCCTGACTCTGGTGGGACTGTGACACCACCCGAGGTAAGAAGGGAGCAGCTGGATTGCAAAGCCCTGTTCAAGGGCGTCCAATAGCAATGCTCTCATCTCGGAGACCTCCCAGGAGAGAAGCAGCAGGGAACATGAAGCCAGTGGCTTGAAAGAGGGACCTCAAGGCCTAGGTAGCACAAAATAGTGGGTCCCCTCAGGAACCTGAGTGTCATTGTGAGCACGCCCTGAGTGAAAGGCTAAGATGGCGCCACATGAACCTTGAGCAGCTAAAGGGCCAGGCCTTGTTGCCTGAGGAGGAGCACGTGGTCCATGACTGTGTGTGGGGGGAGAAAGCCCTCGACATGCAGCGCAGCCCTGGGCAGGGCTGTTCCTCCGCACCCAGTCAGCCGCAGGCAGGCGAGGTCTGGGTAGCGCAGACAGTCTGGGTTCTGCCAGTGCAGGCCCAGGCACAGCAGGAGCCTAGGGGGGTTGCCATGGAGAGGCCCAGACGCAAGCCGAACCAGAGCTGCTGTGGCCACACCGGAGCTAGCAGGATGCCCTTCACTTTGTCCCTCTTGGCCGTCAGCAGCACCTCGGGAAGCGGTGGCATCGGCGGGAAGGTGGCCAGCACTGACACCATCCAAGGACGCAAGAAAGTGTCAGGCAGGCAGGGAGCCTCCAGATAGCACAGAACGAGCACAACAGCTGTTCACACTGGCCGGGAACAGGTGCCCTGGGGAGACTTCTCCGGGGAAGTGGCGAGAGGAGACAGGCTCACCGAGGGGAGGCGGCGAGAGGGGAGGGGCATGCCAAGGGGAGGCGGTGAGAAGGGAGGGGCATGCCAAGGGGAGGCAGCGAGAAGGGAGGGGCGTGCCGAGGGGAGGCGGCGAGAGGGGAGAGGCTCACTAAGGGGAGTGTCTTTGTGGTCGGTATGTTATCTATCTATCTATCTATCCCCTATACCCCTCTATCTATCTATCCATCCCCATACACCCCCTCTATCTATCTATCTATCTATCTATCTATCTATCTATCTATCTATCTATCTATCTATCTATCTATCTATCTATCTATCTATCTATCTATCTATCTATCTATCTATCTATCTATCTATCTATCTATCTATCTATCTATCTATCTATCTATCTATCTATCTATCTATCTATCTATCTATCTATCTATCTATCTATCTATCTATCTATCTATCTATCTATCTATCTATCTATCTATCTATCTATCTATCTATCTATCTATCTATCTATCTATCTATCTATCTATCTATCTATCTATCTATCTATCTATCTATCTATCTATCTATCTATCTATCTATCTATCTATCTATCTATCTATCTATCTATCTATCTATCTATCTATCTATCTATCTATCTATCTATCTATCTATCTATCTATCTATCTATCTATCTATCTATCTATCTATCTATCTATCTATCTATCTATCTATCTATCTATCTATCTATCTATCTATCTATCCCCATACACTGCCTTTATCTCCCTATCTATCTACATACCTTCCTTCCGTCCATCCGGCACTTTGCGACTGGTGTGTGTGATTTGGTTCCTTTCACAATTTTACTCTCAAGTTTTTCTTTCTTTTAAAATGAATCACCCGTCTGGCTTTGGATTCCAAAGGACGTGCTCTTTGGGGTAAGGTCTGAGGCACAAATTGACCTGGGGCCGGGGCTGGCCCTGGTGGGATTGGTTTCCGTGCCCTCTCGTGTGTGGGAGGAGCGGGGCTGGCAGCGGCACAGGAAGCCGGAGTGTCGAAGGGGGTTGCTGGTGAGACTTGCTGGCCAGTGTGGGGGACAGAAGTGCTCTGTGTGGCTGCTTTGGAGCCTTACGAGGGGGGACCCCCAGTCTTGGGCTGTAACTAGCTCTGGTTCTATGCATTTCACCCTGATTTGACCCTCTCTTCAGTGCCCCCCAAAACCTCCTGCATCACACTGGCACACGGGGGTGGGGCTCCACGGGGCACCAGAGCCAGCCCTAGGAATACCGCTAAGGGAGAAGCCTCCAGCAGCCAGGCACATAGTCACGCACACAGCTAGCCTGGAATCAACATGAGCGAGCACTCACACCACCCTCCCAGCCACACCATGGGGCAGCAGGAGAGACAGAGAACAGGAGGAAGGGAGATGTGGGGCCGAGAGATTGGTGAGGAACTAAGGAGAGATCTGTAGGACAGGGCTGGAAATGGCAGGCAGGGGGAGTTGGTGGGCTGCAAAGCAGAGATGGGAGCTGCATGGTTGTGCTGGGGGCAGTGTGGAGGAGATGTCGGGGGCTGCGTGGGAGATCTGTAGGACAGGGCTGGAAATGGCAGGCAGGGGGAGTTGGTGGGCTGCAAAGCAGAGATGGGAGCTGCATGGTTGTGCTGGGGGCAGTGTGGAGGAGATGTCGGGGGCTGCGTGGGGTAGATGTCGGGGATGCATGGGGAAGATGTCGGGGGCTGCGTGGTTGTGCTGGGGGCTGGTGGAGGAGATGTCGGGGGCTAGGGGGATGGGAGAGCAGGGGTTTCTTTCCTCACCACTGAGGAGTGATGGGAGCAGGAAGCAGGGGAAGAGAATGCCCCATCATCTTCTATTTCCAGCCCAGCTGATCCCGGCTCACTGTAGGAGCCACTGTCTGGGGTGCT